ACCGTTGCTTAGTTGTTCTCCCAAGACTAAGCATTTTTTATCTGTTTTTAGGGGAGACATCAAATTTTTGTTTGAGTAGCCCCTACAGTTTTTTTCATAAACTACCTACTTGAACCTTTTTTAGATTGATACCTAAATTTTTTCATCAAAAATTTAAATACTTGTAGTTATGTAATTTTTAATGTATATGCTGGCTGACTTTTAAAACAGAGATGTTACATTATTCTTTCAAATGTACCCTTTGGAATGATACCTACCATCCTTTTGCAAAAAACACGAATAGCCCTTCTTTAACATTTGAAAAGTTTAGATTTTTCGTTTTTCTCTTTGATGGCATATCTCCTTTCCTTAATGAAATAATAAAATATATTCTTATACTAGAAACTCTTTTATCACTCTATTGTGCTTTTCCATGACAATAATGTATAAATTGAAATGTTAAAATGTGTTTCATTATCTATGACTTTAAGTCTCTAAATAGTATTTTTTCTTTTGAATGAAGCCATCAATCATTACAACTTTTTCTCTCTCTCTCTTTTTTTTTTGAAACAGACTCACTCTGTCACCCAGGCTGGAGTGCAGTGGCATGATCTTGGGTCACTGCAACCTCTACCTCCCAGATGCAAGTGATTTTTATGTCTCAGCTTCCTGAGTAGCTGGGATTACATGCATGCGCCAACATGCCTGGCTAATTTTTGTATTTTTAGTAGAGATGGGGTTTCACCATGTTGACCAGGCTGGTCTCAAACTCCTGGCCTCAAGTGATCTGCTTGCCTAGGCCTCCCAAAGTGCTGGGATTACAGGTGTGACCATTGTGCCTGGCCAATCACTACAACTTTTACTGTTGGCATAAAATTGGTCAAAACAACGTAAACATCATGAATTTTGGTATTTATGTAAAGTACATTTTTATCGGAAATACATCTTTAAGTGAAATGAATGGGCTTTCTCCTCTCCCCACTATAGCTTTGTATCTGAGTTGAATATGATTCATTGTTAGAATATGATAATGTTCAGATAAGTTTCATTCTTAGTTTTTATTTTCATGCACATAATTGCTGAGAAGCATTGTTCACATAAAGTAGATTAGAATTATATTGGAAGAGTTCTGCTAAAGCAGTATCATTCTGTTTTACTTAATTTTGCTTTTACTCTTTTTACCCTTCTGAGTTACATGTCAGAAATTATTGTTTGTTAGATTTTATTTTCCAGGTGATAGTTAACATTATTATTTCATATAGCAGTTTGTAATTTGCAAATCCCTTTAACTTTTTCTATCTGTATTATTGTCTCATCAGATGGAACAAGCATGTCATATGTTATCTTCCTTTTATAAGTGAGGAAATTTAAGTTTAGAGAGGTTACATGTCTTACCTAAAGACCTGCAGAGTTGGTAGGAGAGGTACCCAGGCCCATTGCACACCTTTTGCCTTCAAACTCAGTACTTGTTTTAGTCTATCAGCAGTTATTCAAAATATTTTGAATTTTCTTCTACCATGGCCAATATATCTTACCATACTGTTTATTTATTTATTTATTTTGAGACAGGGTCTTGTTCTTTTGCCTGGGCTGGAGTGCAGTGACTCAGCTCACTGCAGCCTTGACCTTTGAGCCTACTGGGGCTCAAGCGATATTCCCACCTCAGCCTCCTGAGTAGCTAAGGCCACAGGCACACACCACCACATCTGACTAATTTTTTAACAAATTATTTGTAGAGATGAGGTCTTACTGCGTTGCCCAGGCTGGTCTTGAACTCCCAGGCTCAAGTGATTCTCCTGCCTTGGCCTCCCAAAGTGCTGAGATTACAGGTGTGAGCCACTGTGCCTGGCTACCATACCCTATAAATGTGTTTTTATCAAAAACAAGCTGTGATACAGGCCATTTATTTTATGGATGATATCTCCGTATAACCTGATTGGCAGAAGCAGTCCTCAAAACATAACAAAGCATATACTACTAAGTACTAACAGATGCACTTGTTGGTAAATATTTTTTTGTTAAAAAGATGTAGAAAGTGTTAAATATTTTATAAAATATAAAAATTAAGAATTGACTATATTTTATCATGAAAAGGTTGTAAAATATTTTATTGCACATGTCACATTGACTCTGAAATCACAGAATTTTTATCTGTGAGTTTTAGTATGTCTTAAAAACACTTGGTAGTCCTAGGAAGTACTCCATTTGTTTTTAAAATAATTACAACCAGGCATGGTGGCTCACGCCTGTAATCCCAGCACTTTGGGAGGCGAAGGTGGGTGGATCATTTGACGTCAGGAGTTCGAGACCAGCCTGGCCAACATGGTGAAACCCCGTCTCTACTAAAAATATAAAAAAAATAGCTGGGCATGGTGGCACACGCCTGTAATCCCAGCTACTTGGGAGGCTGAGGCAGGAGAATCGCTTGAACTGGGGAGGCAGAGGTTGCAGTGAGCTGAGATCATGCCACTGCACTCCAGCCTGGGCGACAGAGCAAGACTCCGTCTCAAAAATAAAAATAAAAATAAAAATAAAAAATAAGTAAAATAATTAGTAGGACTGAGTGCGCCAGTCAGGTTAGTGGGAGGTTTTTTTTTTTCTAACGATGTGTCCTAAAAAGAACAGCTGAAAATAATTTTAATTCAATATATACAAAAAGATGTTTTTGAAGTTAGTGATATAGCTCACATTTATTTCATATTTAGTATGTGTCATGCACCATTCTAAGCATTTGAAATATATTAGCTCATTTAATCCTTACCACAACCATTTGAAGTTTTACCCCATTTTATAGATAATGTAAGTGAAGAACAGAGGTTAGTAACTTGCTCAAGGACATACCAGTAGTAAGTGATAGAACCTGGAGTTGAACCCAGAGTCCCCATCTTTATCCACAATGTCATGCTCTTTCTCTGTTCAGTATTTCCTACTGTGTACTTTATATAAGAGGCTTGTATACATTAGAGCAATGTGTCATAGTAAGAATTAGGATAAACTAAGGTCATGTGTTTCCTTTGTAAAGTAAAAGAAAGGCTGTCATTAACACGGGCACTTTTTTAGGTGGATAAGTTTGAGGAAAGAGAGTATTTATGGGAATCGACATCTGAAAATTGATTTCCTTAAAACCATTCTTTTGTGGGGACCCTTGAAAAGTCTTCTAGTGTGTACACCTGGTTTCCAGTTCAGGAAAGAGAGCAGCTACTCAAAAGTCTGAACTCCTGAATTTAAAAAAGCTAATCTCCACAAGAGATTTGTTCTGTTAAGATTAGTTTGATTTATTCCCGGTATAGCTGTATCTAGGGAACACTGAAGAATATTAAGCAGCACCAACGATATGTTCTCCTGGAAAGGTTTGCCTGAGGGTACTTTAATGGTAGGTAATTTAAACTAAATGTCTTTTTGAAAATATTGGGACCCTTTGAATAACAGAGTGCTACGTCATGTTAGAGTCTATAAAGTGTTTCATGTTTCTTGGTTTAGTAGATTTATACCTTGGAAGCTCTGGTTAAGATAGAATAAATTATGATATAACATTTCTTTTCCATTTGGTGGTGGTAGAGTAGATACTCAGTGTACATACATTTCTACAGTGAGTTTCAGGCTGAGCTCTGGGAAAGGATGTCGTATTTTACCACCTTATATATTTGAGCTTTGTATCTCATACATAGAGTTTGGCTCTTAGAGAGAATCTGAATTAGAGGCACTTCAGGAAGCATTCACGTATCCTGGAATAGATGACTTGGCTGTCAACCCCTTGCCGGCTGTAGCTCCCCATTTGTTGTAGTCCATATGTGCTATACCCAACCTAGAGCAGGGTGCCTTGCCTGGCTAATTTGTTTTTTACTTTTTACAGAGATGGGGGGTCTCAATATGTTGCCCAGGCTGGTCTTGAACTCCCAGCTTCAAGTGATACTCCTGCCTGAGCCTCCCTAAGTGCTCAAATTATAGACATGAGCCATTGTGCTTGGCTCAAATTTTTATTTTAATTGGGCTTTTTTTGTCAGAAGAATGTGCCACTCTGAATTTGTTTTTGGTATTAAGTTTGTTTCTTGTATTACCTGAACCTATTTTACGTTGATTTTTATTTTCCCAGATGAATTTGTGATGCTGCTATTTTACCAATTTTAAAAGATGTTTCAGCAAAGCTAGCAGATTTTTCCATGACTTTTTAGTCATTGTTGAAAGATCAAAGCTTCATTCATCTACAGTTTAACCTTTGCTTCTACCAACTCAAATTTTTTTCTTAATAGCTTTTTTCTTACTCTAGAGAAGAGTTGTTTACCCATGCTAATCAAGTATGCTAGTCACCTGAAAAAAAAATAAAGAAAGCGTTAAAGCACTACCATGCATGTGATTTTGGCCAGGCAGGGCTTCGTTGTACCCCCAATATTAGGAAATGTTCTTGAAAATCCCCACTATGTTTTTGGGCTTTCTTTTTTCTTTTTTTTCAAAGTAGAGCTGTGAGATTTTCCGTACAAGGATGTTTATTCTTATTTATGAAGTGTTTTCTTTTTCTTTTTTTTTGAGATGGAGTCTCGCTCTGTCACTAGGCTGGAGTACAGTGGCACAATTTCTGCTCACTGCTACCTCTGCCTCCCGGGAGAGGCGATTCTCCTGCCTCAGCCTCCCGAGTAGCTGGGACTACAGGCGTGCGCCACCACGGCCAGCTAATTTTTGTATTTTTAGTAGAGATGGGGTTTCACCAGGATGGTCTCAATCTCTTAACCTCATGATCCACCCGCCTCAGCCTCCCAACTGCTGGGATTACAGGCGTGAGCCACTGCGCCCAGCCTTCTTTTTCTATTAAGATTATTTTATTTTCCCTGTTAAAAATTGTATAGATGTTAATTTTTAAAGTCCTGATTCTACCAGATCAAATAATAGAAATACCCAATTACATTTTTTAAAGGGAGGTAGTATACAGTTACCATTATCAGTTTATTATGCCCTTTTCCACAGAATCTGCCTTCTCTTGGTGTATTTCACAAAGGATCAGTCTTAATCACCTGCTTCAGACTCACATGTAGGCAATAGGATGACACTGACATGACTGGCTGTCTCAGAAAATTCAGTTTTCTGTAATTCTCACACTTGTATGGTCACAGTTAATAAGTCTCCCAGCCCCCCTGCCCCGTCGACCCCCCACTCCCAGAGTATCTACTGTTAGCAGAGAACTATGCCGAATACAGTTTTTTTCTTTAACTGTCATTCTTTTTCTGTTATGGGAACTGAGTTTACCATCAAGGTAACATTAGCAGAAGGAAGGTACCAAGTATGTGTTTTGTATGCTGTACAAAATCAGTTCACTATAATGATCACTGCCCACCGAAAATGCACAGTCCCAAAGGAAATATATCACAGGGCCATAAGGTCAAAGAAAATAAACATGTATAGAGTTCAGTAAACTTTTCAGAGAATATTATTGCAGCTTCCTAAATACTAACTGTATTGGACAATACATGATAGATACCTTTTCACACTTAAGCCAGTTCATATTAAAGCTGCTTTTACTAAACTGCTTTGCAGAGATTTTCTAATGGTTCTAGTTTTGATAATAAATTTGCTAATATTAATATGCATGTTGGGATGTTCTTTGGAATGTCAGAATTCTTTCTCACTTTTAATGCAATGTCAAAATTTTATTTCTCATCTTTCCTGTTGGTTTGACTCTTATGTTTGTGCTTTCCACTTTACAGGCATGCAGTATGGTGAATATGTTAATAACCAAGCTAGCTCCGCACCAACTCCCTTGTCATCAACTTCCGATGATGAGGAAGAGGAGGAGGAGGATGAGGAAGCAGGTCTGCTTTAGCTTTACACCAGTTCTTGATCTTTTCCTGCTCAAGTTTTCTTTTTATTTCTACAGTCTTTCTTAGCCTTTTAAAAAAGAGTCTTTGAAGATTTAGCATGATGAACTTACGAGGTTTGCATTATAGAAGGTGTGTCACATAAAATGAGGTGTGTGTTTGTTTTGTTTTTCCTCCTTTAGGCATCTTTGCCATATTGTAAATAATAGAATCAGAATACCTCTTTCATGATAGTAGAGTGCATTCTTCTTTCAGAAATGCGTTTCCTTCCATGTCACATGCAAAATAATGAATCCTGACTGAAGCTTTTGGCTGATGATTGCTCTAGCATCATTTTAGGAATAATGCTTCATTTTCTGCTTTGCATGCTACTTTAGTCTAATCAAAATAAGCCATGCGGATTTTATAATAGGGATAGAGAAATAGGACAGTGTTTTAGTGAGGTCCTTTTGGCTCTTCTTGTCATGTATTTGGAAGGCCCAGAATTTGTAGTTATTTTCCTGCTTCATGAAGTAGTACATATCTTGCTAGTTGAAGAAGTTGTGCATATGGTTATGTGTTGCAAACTGTTTAATATCTTTTTCTGCCTTTGATAGGTAGAACACTGCTAAAAATTAAGCAGTTCAGTTCCTCCATTAATTCTAATACAGGTTGAATATCCTTTATCTGAAATGCTTGGGGCCAGAAGTGTTTCAAATTTCAGATTTTTTGAGATTTCAGAATATTTGCTGCAAATACATAGATAGCTTGAGGATGGGACTCAAGTCTAAATACTAAATTCATTTATGTTTCATATACACCTGTGCATATAAACTAAAGGTAATTTTGTACTATATGTATTTTTTGTTTTTTGTTTTGTTTTTTATTTTTGAGACAGAATCTCACTCTGTCCCCTAGGCTGGAGTGCAGTGGCACAATCATGGCTCACGCCAACCTCCGCCTCCCAGGCTCAAACCATCCTCCTGTCTCAACTCCCATGTAACTGGGACTACTGGGACTATAGGTCACCCTACACAGTTAATGTTTGTAGTTTTTGTAGAGATGGGGTTTCATCATGTTGCCCACACTGGTCTCGAACTCCTGCACACAGGGAATCCACCCACCTCAACCTCCCAAAGTGCTGGGATTACAGGCATGAGCTACCTCACCAGGCTTGTACTATATATATATATATATATATTTTTTTTTTTTTTTTTTTTTTTTTTGAGATGGAGTCTTGCTCTGTTGCCCAGGCTGGAGTGCAGTGGAGCAATCTCGGCTCCCTGCAAGCTCCGCCTCCTGGGTTCACACCATTCTCCTGCCTCAGCCTCCCGAGTAGCTGGGACTACAGGCGCCTGCCATCACGCCTGGCTAATTTTTTGTGTTTTTAGTAGAGATAGGGTTTCACCGTGTTAGCCAGGATGGTCTTGATCTCCTGACCTCATAATCTGCCCGCCTCTACCTCCCAAAGTGCTGGGAGTACAGGCGTGAGCCACAGGGCCCGGTCTTGTACAATATTTTTAATAATTTTGTACATGATACAGAGTTTTGCCTGCGACTTGTCGTATGAGGTCAGGTGTGGAATTTTCCACTTGTGGTGTCACGTCAGCCCTCATAAAATTTTGGATTTTGGAGCATTTTAAGATTTTGGATTTTCACATTAGGGATGCTCAACCTATAGTTTAAGACTGAACCAATAAGTGATGATCTTTCAAGTTATTATATGTGACCATAATTCTCCTGTTCTAAATGGGAAGATCTGTTCTACAATCATTTTAACAAAAAATTTCTATTTCCTGTGCATTTAAAAATATGTAAATCATTATATGCGACTTGAGGGGATACAAATTGGGAGTGGTGGGAAATAATTTTTCTTGCTCTAGATATGTAAGTACCCATCTATGTTTCTGAAATTTTTTTTGTAATTTTAAATTTTAACAAAATTTCAAACTCACAGAAGTGTAAAAGAACCCCTCATGTACACTTTACCCAGATAAACCATTTTTGCCACACTTGCTTTATAATTCTTTATCAATGTATTTTTTTCTATACCATTTGCAAGTAAATTGGAGACATCATGAACTTTACCGCTAATACTTTATTTATATTTCCTAATCATAAGGTAGGTGTCTTACATAGCCAAAATACAGTTATCAAGAAATTGAGCATTGATGCAATAATAGCTGATAACACAGTTCATTGTCAAATCTCAGTTGTCTCAAGTAGATCTTTTATAGCTATTTTCATAGTCCAGGATCCAATCTGGATCATGCATTGAATTTAGTTGTCATGTTAGAGTTCTTCAGTCTCCAACAGTTCGTTAGCCTTTCTCTTTCCTTGCCTTAACATTTTCAAAGAGTACAGACCAGTTATTTTGTAAAATGTTCCCTTATGTGGGTTTATCTGAGGTTTCCTCGTGATTACAATTCAGATCATGCATTTTTCTGAGGATTATCACTAAAGCAATGTTGTGTTCTCAGTGCATCCTATTTGAGGCACATGGTGTCAATTTGTTCTCATATTGATGAGGTTAACTTCTATTATTTGAATAAGGTGGTATCTGCCAGGTTTCTCCACCATAAAGTTACTATTTTTCCCTGTTAAAATTAATAAGTAATTTGTGGGGAGATTCTTTGAGACTATGTAAATGTTCTGTTCTCCAAAAAGAAAAAAAAAAAAAAAGAGATCAGAAAGATTTGGCGACTGGGTGCAGTGGCTCATGCTTGTAATCCAAGCACTTTGGAAGGCCGAGGCAGGTAGATCACCTGAGATCAGGAGTTGGAGACCAGTGTGGCCAAAATGGTGAAACTCTATCTCTACTAAAAATACAAAAATTAGCCAGGTGTGGTGACGCATGCCCATAGTCCCCACTACTCTGGAGGCTGAGGCAGGAGAATCGCTTGAATCTGGGAGGCAGAGGTTGCAGGGAGCCAAGATCTCGCCACTGCCCTCCAGCCTGGGTGGCAGAGTGAGACTCTGTCTCACAAAGAAAAAAAAAAAAATTTTAGCATTTATGGCTTTTTTCTAATGTCTTGTTTATTATTTTTCTTGAGTATATTATAAATTTAAAATTCTTGAGTTTTTATGACATTTGGATTTTAATAATACCTAACATTTTTAGCATTTACTGAATGCCTGTCATAGCAGTACAGAGCTTTTGTGTCAGTTTTTCTAGACTCACATCCCGACTTTGTCACTTTCTAGCTTTGTGATAATGATGCTAACAATTACATATAGTTGTTTTAAGGATTGAAGATGTTGTTTGTAAAGAGCTTAGAACAGTGTGTGGCAAATGGTGAACACTCAGAAAGATTAGCTGTCGTTACCAGCATTGAAATTGTGTTCTTGTCTGTTCTTCTCAACAATTCTGCAAGGCAGAAATAATCAACTGTATTTTACAGATGAATTAACTGCAGCCTGAACAGGTTAAGTAACATTTGTCTGTGGTCACACAGCTGCTCAGTAGGCAGAGTAGGGATTCAAACTGAGGTCTCTCTGCAGGAAAGTATGAAAAAGAAGGTGTCTTCCTATCCAGTGAGAGAACATAAACCACCAGAGTAGGTGGGAAGTAAAGGGCACGTGACGGTAGTCACTACAGTATTAAACTTAGATGTTATCTTACTCCTGTGTTTTTTTCTGTTTCACAAAATAAGACTATATTATTGGCGTTTTTACTATAGTCTTGGTGTTCTGTATTCATGGTTTTATAAAATAATATCTTTGTTGGTTGCAAATTAAAGAAACATTCTCAGTGGTGGGATGGGAAGAAAGTCTAGCTTTAAAAGGAATTTTATTTTTTTAAACCCTGCCCAGTTACAATAATTTTTTTCATATGTACAGAGGTAAAAGAAAGTGGCTGAAATTGGTGTGGGGATTACATGTAAGTGTCTAATAAAGTAGCGATTTGGAGTGCTTTACTTCTTAAGCATTTCAGTGACATTTATTCCCTTTATTTGTGAGATTTTTGTGTGTTTAGTTTATGTGGGATTGTTCTCCAACTTTGAAAAAATTTCATTGAACTGTGATGAAAAATGAACCAGCAGATTGGAGAATCAGAAGGCATTGTGTTAGCAGTGTTAAGTATTGAGGAAAGTTTGGCTGAAAGCTGAGGAAAAAAAACAATTGGAAAATCTATCAGGAAGTATTTGTCTTGTTTTGTTTTTTCCCACTCTGTAGCACTGTTTGAAGATTGAGGGAAAAGAGAACAGGAAGAACATTTCCTGAGTCTCTTGCTAATATCTGTTACACCTGTGATATCTGTTAAGTTGTAATTGTAGCCCTGTGGAGGAGGTGTTATTATGAGATCTGTTGTTACTAATGAGTAGCTCAGAGATGTCAGGTGTCTATTTTCCCTCAACTGGTAGGGAGTGGACATGAGGAAATCTCAGATTATCTGGTTAATTTCAAAAAGTTTAGCAATACTAGTAAGTATATTACCTTTGTTGACCCATATTGCTTGTCTTTTAGAGAGAGAGAACAGCTTAAGCCTTTTTTTTTAAAGGCTTAATTGCTTTCTGATACTCTTCCCTAGCTTCAAGGATTCTGAGCTATTCTTATCTGTTCTCCTCGTTACTTCTTTAGATTTCAGCTCCCTCTCTTTTTCTCTTTCCTTTTTTCTTCTTTCAAGCTGTAATGTAGAGCCAGTAAAAGAATGAGAGAAAATTGCTTCCAACTACTGCGTTTCATACTTAACCCCCATTTGATCTCAGAATACTTAATATCACTAATTGCAATGTGAAGTGACTGAGGCAAATCGATACTATCTAGGCATTAAGCATGGGACAAGTACCAAAGCTATTGATTGAGTGGAAACCAGTTTGTATGCTGAAAGCAGTATTTTGCTTGCTATCAGGATTCCAAAGATCAATATATTAGCGTAGCTGTGGCCATCAAATACTTACATGATAGGGAAACAGATACCATATGATTACAGTACAACTTGAAAGGTGTAAGCGGGCATGGTGGCTCACGCCTGTAATCCTAGCACTTTGGGAGGCCGAGATGGGCGGATCACCTGAGGTCAGGAGTTTGAGACCAGCCTGGCCAACATAGTGAAACCCCATGTCTACTAAAAATACAAAGATTAGCCGGGCGTGGTGGCCGGCGCCTGTAATCCCAGCTGCTTTGGAGGCTGAGGCAGGAGAATCACTTGAACCTGGGAGACAGAGGTTGCAATGAGCCGAGATCACGCCACTGCACTCCAGCCTGAGTGACAAGAGTGAGACTCTGTCTCAAGAAAAAAAGAGAAAAGAAAAGTGTATTAATTCAGGGTTGAGAATGTGCCCCTGCATAGGAGAGGAAATGATTTTCTGTGGGCATACAGGAAAAGTTTGACAAAGGATTTGAAATTTGAAGGATGATTAGTAATTTGTCATGTGGAGAAAGGAAATTATGGCTAACAGACCAACATGCATCATGCATAAACAGAAGAAAAAATGTAGTATTGGGTCAAGAGTCAGAAGTTGGGTGTAACTGCATCATAAGGTAAAACAAGGAGGATGGTAAAGGGACAGGTGAGAGATGCAGGTGAAAAGGACAAGTAGAAGCCAAATTTTTGAAGTTTGTTTTATGACAATGTGAAGGCATTTAGACCTTATTCACTAAGATGGTGGGGAAATTAGTGAAGGTTGTTTTTAAGCATGTTCAGAATGTTAACATACAAGTTTTCAATAAGGTACTGTTTTTTAAAAATACCTTTTTGATTTTTTTGCCAGTAATGGCATGACCTCTAATTAATGCATTAATTAGAATGCATTAATCTAAATAGCAAAATGTCATGAGTCTGTTTATCTTACTGATTTATTTGGGTTTGTAACATTGCTTTGCTATTTTTGACAAGTTCAAAAATAGAGATTTGCAGTTATTTTTTCTTCTGAAAGTGAATTTAAAGTGAACTAGCAGATTTCAAACTAGTAAACAAAATAGAATAAAAAAATTAATACTTTAAAGCTTATAGCATTATTAAAATGAACAATCTTTAAAATATTAGCAGTTGATTTGACATGAAAGAAGCTAAACAGCATAATTGAGTAATAGTATGTTCTTTGGAATAAGTGGATGTATAAGTAATCTTTTATCTTTGGACTTTATTTTTTTTCAAGAGTGGTTATTTCTTGATATATACATTTAAAAGTTTTTCTTAGAATTCCCATGATATTTTTAATAGCAGTTTCGGGAAATAATTCACATACCATAAAATTCACCTATTTAAGTTGTGCTGTTCTGCAGTTTTTAGCATTTTCACAAAGTAGCAACCATCACTACTATGTAGTTCCGGAACATTTTCTTCACCCCAAAATAGAAACTTCATACGTTTTAGCATTCTTCCCATTCTACCCTCCCCGCACAGCCACACAAAGCTCTAGGCAACCATTAATCCTCTGTCTCTATAGATTTGTCTATTTTGAACATTTTATATGTAGAGATCATATAATATGTGGTTGTTACTTGCATCTTTCTCTTACCATAATATTTTCTAGGTTCATCCACATTATGGCATATGTCAGTACTTTATGATTTTTTGTTGCCAAAAAAATTCCATATGTGAATATATCACATTTTATTTATCCATTCATGAGTTGATGGACATTTGGGTTGTTTCTACTTTTTGGCTGTTACGAATAATCCTGCTGTGAACATTTGTCGACAAGTTTTTGTGTGGGTTTCTGTTTTCATTTCTCTTGAGTAGAATTGCTGGGTCAGAACTCTGTATTTAACTTTTGAGAAACTGCCAAACTGTTTTCCAAAGTAACTGCACCATTTTACAATCCAGTGAGGATTCTAATTTCTCCACATCTTTGGTAATAAGTTTTGGCAAAGATGTGGAAAAATTGGAATCCTCATTGGATTGGTTATAATACATCCTAGTGGATGTAAAGTGGTATCTCGTTGTTTTGATTTTCATTTTCCTAATGGATAGTGATGTTGAGTGTCTTTTCATGTGTTTATTGGTCATTTGTTTTATCTTCTTTGGATAAGTATCTTTTGCCCATTTTAAATTTGGTTATTTGTTGTTTTATTGTTGAGTTGTAAGAATTTGTTACATATTCTGAACATTAACCCCTTATCAGATATATGATATGCAAATATTTACTCATACTGTGGGTTGTCTTTTTACTTCTTGAAGATATGGTAACCTTTAGAGCACAAAGTTCTTAATTTTGATGAAGTCCAAGTTATTTTTTTTCTTTTGTTGCTTGTACCTTTGATGTCATATCTTAAAATTCATTTAGTCATGAAGATTTATTCCTATATTCTAAGAGTTTTGTAGTTTTAGCACTTACATTTTATGTCTGTGATCCATTTTGAGTTAGTTGTAGTGTAAGGTGTAAGGAAGGGGTCCAGCTTTGTTCTTCTGCATGTGGATATGCCTGGTTGTTCCAGCACCATTTGCTGAAAAGAATATTATTTCCCCATTGAAATGTCATGGTAAATTGTTTAGTTTTATTAAGGTAAAAATATATATAACATAAAATTAACTGTTTTAAAGTGTATCATTCAGTGGCATTTAATACATGTACAGTGTTGTGTAATCCCTACTTCTATTTAGCTCAATCTAACTTTGTGAAGTACTAGACATTTTCATCATCCCAAAAGAAAATCCTACACTCAGTCACTCCCCATTTTCCCCTCCCCCCAGCCCCTGGCAACAACCATCTACTTTCTGTCTCTATGGATTTACCTATTCTGGATATGTCATATAAATAGAATTATATAATATATATGATCTTTTCTGTCTGATTTATTTCACTTAGGCAAATTTTCAGGTTTCATTCACATTGTAGGGTGCATCTATACTTCATTTTTATGGCTAAATATCCCATTTTATAGATACACCATATTTTGTTTATTCATTCATCTGTTGATGAATATTTGGAGACTTTTGACCTGATATATCAGCATTCTGCTTTAGTTTAAAATTCACAAATAAAAGGAACAAAAAGGAAAGGGCGTTATTTTCCATTAATTTATTAAGAGGAAAAATATATGTGCAAAATTGTTCTACTTATCACGAAGAAGGCACTTCGTAAATATTAGTGTCTTCTACCTATTACTTATTTTATGGGTGTCTTCATATCCACTGTCTCATTTAGACCTTGTAAGAACATAAAAAACCACACATAGGACATTTAAAAAATCGTTAGCATTTTGCAGAAGAGTTATATAGCAAGTTACCTTCACTTATTCTCAGGAGAAAAAAACCACAAGGTTATATAGCAAGTAAATAATGGAGTTGAGGTAACTGCAGTCTTTGCCTCCAAATCATGTTCTTTGCTAATAAGAAAATATTCCTACACAAAAAGCATTAGCTGTTATGCCCTGAGTCAGTATACCTAATTCTCGTGTTTATCTAAAATTATTCAATGAAAGATAATTATACATACCTGTTCTTTTCCTATCACAGTTGAAAATTAACCTAAATGTCGTTTAAATACCAGTTATAATATTGGTATTAAGAGCAAAGGATAACTTCTGTAGCACAGAATTTTGTCTTACTGTGAAACAGAGCAAGATCTGTAACATAATAGAGGGATCATGCAGATTTTTTGTTTTCTTCATCATAATATACTCTAGCATATGTACCTAGGATAATTGTAGGTCTCAAAATATGTGTTGAATGAATGGAAGAAGTATATTGTTTGTTCTATTCATGTGACCTGTGACCAGATTTCATCATAAATTGCTACTGAATTCTCATCTTAACAGGTTTTGAATGAGCACACATAATAAAAATTCTTGTAGTCTAACATTTATATAAATTAGTGTGCCTTTCATTTATATTACCTTATTAAATATGGCAGGTATTATTTAATCTCTATTCTGCAGCTATAGAAAAGACACAGAAAAGCTTAGTAGCATGCCAGATAGCAACCTAAGCTACAGACTCCTCATTTATCAATGTCTCAAACAGTGCGCTATGATATAAATAAAAGTCATTAAAATTTAATTACCTTAATATACCCTAAGATTGATAAAATGTATTTAGTATTTATCATTAATGATAAAATATATTTGGTAGATGTAATCCTTAAGATGTGACTATATTAACATTTCTATCAACCTAAAATTTTTATATATATGTTTGACTACTTTTAATAGTTTAATATCTTTTCTTCTCTAAGATGCCTTACATGTTTAACTGAATTTTATCCCACTCATCGGCTTCATTTTCTCTCCACTCTCATCTTCTATTCTTAACAGAAATTCATTGGTTTTTAAAATGTCTCTAGACATCAATCATTTCACTTTTTTACTAGAATCAGGAATTTTCCTAGTTCAGCAAAAACATCTTTTTCAAAATTGCCAAAGGCTGCTTTAAGATACTTTGTCATTTTAAACCTAGTAGATGTTTTGGTTTTCTTTTTAGGTGTTGACAGCTCTTCTACCACAAGCAGTGCTTCTCCAATGCCCAACAGTTATGATGCCCTGGAAGGAGGCAGTTACCCAGGTAATTTGTTGTTTTGTGCTTGCTTGTTCTTCATTTTAAAAGTTATTGACCATCAATTGCCTTCAAATGTGAACATGTATTACACAAAATAGCAGGCTATATTTTTAACAAGAAAAAAAAGAACATTTTTCTGGCACTTCTCAGCCGCAACTTAATAGCATTAATTGTCACTAACAACTATGAAGGTTGTTTCTGGGGCTATTATTTTTTGTTGTTATCATACTCTTTTTCTAAAAGATTGTCAATAGCTTTTCTCTTCTTTCCCCTTCTTTTTAAAGAATAACTGCTCCTTAAATAAATTTTATATTTCTAATCTCATGCTTAGGTCTTTGAATTCTTTTCAACCAGCCTCTGAATATAGTCTTTGACTCTTTGCTCCCTCAGTGGCTTCTGGCTGCCTCTAGTAGGTAAATAGATGCTACCCCCAACTTGGGGGTGGGTTTTGGAGACATCACTTTTAACCATATCTGAAATCACTTTAGCCATTACATTCAAGTACAGGAGTGGATAGTATTGAAAGAAAAAACTATCATTTCATTTTAATATCTTATACTGTGATTTTTCTTGCTCTCCTGACCTCTGTCTCTCTTTTTCTAATGATTCCAAGCTTCAAAACTAACAGAAAAAGCAGTTTTGCCCTTCTCTTTATTTCTTATCTCTTTGTTGATGATCCAGGATGAAGTTTAATTGAAGTGGGAATGTTCTATACTTAAAAAAAAAAAATACTGTCTTGCTATCACTATTCTGTGAATCAGTAGAAAACTTCAATCTTTTCAGCTCAGTATGGAATTACCTTGTAATATTTTAAAAATACTGCTAGGTGTGGTGGCTCACACCTGTAATCCCAGCACTTTGGTAGGCCGAGGTGGGCGGATCACAAGGTCAGGAGATCAAGACCATCCTGGCTAAGATGGTGAAACCCCGTCTCTACTAAAAATACAAAAAGTTAGCTGGGCATGGTGGCGGGCACCTGTAGTCCCAGCTGCTCGGGAGGCTGAGGTGGCAGAATGGCGTGAACCCGGGAGGCAGAGCTTGCAGTGAGCCGAGATCTCGCCACTGCACTCCAGCCTGGGCGACAGAGCGAGACTCCGTCTCAAAAAAAAAAAATTTTTTTTAAACTACTTGAATAAATGACTCAGTTTTTTGTAGTTAAGGATTTTTGCCCCTAGGAATTTTGTTTGTGTGTGTGTGTGTGTGTGTGTAAGAAGTTGTAAACCATTCCAAAAACAATTTCTTGTCAAGATAGTCTAGAAGAATTGCTTAATTCACTAAAAGATCAACAACCATATAGTATCCCATGAACTCTAAATTAATGTGAAACGAAAAATGTCTAGTGTAGTATAGTTGAAAGATTCTGGCCCTGCAGTCAGACTTTGGTTTCTTTGTATTCATTCAGTCAACAAATTCTAATCTTGTAATCCTATGTGTTGAAAGTATTTCAGTAACCTTGGACAAGTTTTCTTCCTATTACACTGCACCAAAATTAAAGAACTATGTGAGCATCTGTAGCAGTAATGTTAAATGAACTGTAGGCCTACTATATGTCAGGTACTAGGATAGATCTGTAGAATTCTTTCCTGAAGAAGGGGAGAAGATTTAGACCTTCATGTTTATAACTCCAGTTTTCTTTCCTCCTCCTCCTCCTCCTCCTCCTCCTCCCTCTCCTCTCTCCTCCTTCTTCTTCCTCCCCTTCCTCCTCTTCTCCTCCTCCTCCTCCTCCTTCTCCTTCTCTTTCCTTTTTTTTTTTTTTTTTTGAGACAAGGTCTCATTCTGTCACCCAGGCTGGAGTGCAGTGGTGTGATCATGGTTCACTGCAGCCTGGTACTACTGGGCTAAAGCCATCCTCCCTCCTCGGCCTCCCAAGTAGTTGGGACTACAGGTGCACACCACCATATCCAGCTTTTTTTTTTTTTTTTTTTTTCTTTTCGTAGAGATGGGGTCTCACTTTGTTGTCCAGGCTGGTATCAAACATCTGGCTTCAAACAGTCCTTCCACCTCGGCCTTCCAAAGTGTTGGGATAATAGGCATGAGCCATTCATTGCACCCAGCCCCATTTTTTTTATTTCTTAAGCTGATAAATTGTCATGTTACAAGAACTTTCTGCCTATGTTTCCATCACCATGAGGAGAGACAAGCAAGAGATCTAAGGATTATGACACCGTATTGAAGGTCTTACCCTCTTAAGAAGTCTGGGAGGTTACCAGAAAGCCAGTAAGCTGATCCCTGCCTAGTCAGCACAAGATGATAGCAGAATGTCTAGGAATGTATCTTCAGAATTAGACCCAATAAGGAGATGTGATTCCTCAAGGGAAAAAAAAAAAAGATTGATTCAGTTAAAGTTTCTAAGAATATATTTTTGCAGAATCCAAATGCTGCTGGTGAAGGATATCTTATGAACTAAAATGAATG